TGTGAAGAAACGGGAACAGTGATCTCTTCAAAATGTCTGCCATTCATGTGAAACTAGTTGGTCACGTGCCCCATTAGTACGCAACACATATGCTAGGTGGGGCCACCTCTAAGTGGTCGATTTGACAGTGTGCCGTTTTACCTAGGGGTACCGTCTTGCCCCGCCGTCCCCTACACGCGCGCTATCGCAGAACATGCAAGATGACATGCAGAATCCCAACATATATTGCGCGTTACGATAACAACCGCCAAATTTTATAACATACTTTTAATATTTTACTTGCATTGAGATATTAGTCTTTAGTGTAGACTTTTAGATGTGCTTAGTACACCATCAGGGTGATAAACTAACAGCGTGGCAAGTTTGGGGGTCCGAAATCAATAAATGGCGGAATGCATAGACAAAGTTCGTTTTTTTTAGTAGTATAGATGTAAAATATAGAGAGACCGGGGGAAGGGGGGGGGGCAAAATAAAATTTTACTGCCGCCACTTGCAAAGCTAAGTTGACCTTGGACATTTCCTGTCGCGGTGCGCAGTGTCTGTGGGGTCTGAGCCCGCACATGTTCGGGCCCATTGTCTAACGCCACGCAGACCTAGATATACGACATATTTTATTGATCTATAAATTTGTTATAATCATGATCTTACAACGGCCCATATGCGCATCCAAATGTACGTAACGCCCTAATAGGAGCTCCCAAATTTAATAGTTTAATTTACTGTCTTTAATAAACAATGAATAAACAATATCATAATAATTATGCAGTCAAGTATATAGTAACGAGGAAATGTCTCAATGTAATGGAACATAACACGACGACCTATACATGCATGTATATTAAGATGTATATGCATTACAATGTCAAACTCAACGTATATAATACAGTATATAAATGACTTTAAATGTACATATAATTATATATATAGCGGTATCAAACCGCATGAGAAAATCTAGCAAAAGGAACCATATGCAGTACGTGCATGGACTGCAGAAAACTGAATCTAGAATAGTGAGGGCTGATCTAACTCCTATAACCTCTATATCATTTTTGAATTTAAGAAATATATCCTATTTTATTATTCCTCGAGGAACTAATGGAAAATTTGGCGAGAGGCAGAAGAAATAACAGCGATGTTATATACTGTTGTTTAAACTTTTGCTGTTACGTGTACTTGTTGTTGGCGGTCTGAAATGTACAAAGCAATGGCATGCTTAGCTGCGCATCATTTTAAATAACAGAATCGGATTTAAATAACATTAACAGAGTTAACGGCTAGACTTATAGTTATACCGACGTGCACGGTTATAGCACGAGATTATGTTGTACCAAGGATTTGGTTGTAAGTAGCACTCTAGTATAGTATTAGTAGATAATATGCTCCCTAGCCTACTCGATACATGTACACGCGATTCATGCGGCAAATTAATCCATCTGTAATTCCGCCATAACCATTATTATAGCGTACAAATAGGTAGAAGTCCTACAACAAAGTAGGCCTACACAAAATACGTATATCACGCAGTCATATAATATGTCATCGATCTCTTATTCCACGTCATCTTATTATGTCATCTTATCTGGGTTAAACAAGACTGGTTAGGTAGACTAGGTAGACGGTTACAGTCCTATAGACCGAAGGCCCGATAAACCGAAGACCCGATAGACCGAAGGAATTTATCTTCGAATACGCAGTGGCTACACGTCCGGAATCGGTCGCCTAGCCTCCAGGCTACGCATCC